GATATATAAATTACAGTTTAAATTTAAAGGGGTATATTTTCAGGAGAGATTCATTTTTACAAAAAAATGTGGGAATCTTCCAAAGAAAGGAAGAAACAATTGATTCCAAAATGAACTCTCCACAAAGGTGTGTAGATCATGCAAAGAAGTAACTTTCTGACACAAACTCTCAGTTAGATAACACATGCTCATAACTTACTTTTCCTTTCGGTAACCTAGCGACAAATTGTTTATCAAACTGTCTATGACAACTTGAAATACGTAAGGACAGTTAAATTTTTAATCTGAGATTGAAAAATGCTAAATCATGTTCTATTGAAAAGGTCGACCTTTTCATCCCGCAGTGACAAAAAATCATATACTTACCACGGGCGATTAGTACGACATCCTCGCCCGCGATTTTGTCACCAGAGCGGAAGGCGAGGTAAAATATACTATTATATGAACATTGAATTATGCAAAAAACACTTTTTACTACTCAGTTTGTATTCCAAACATTAAAAATGGAATTGATTCAGATATTCACTTAACAAAACTCCCAATTTTTTTTGTATAAATATGGAGAAGTAGAAAGCCAAAACCTCTCTTTCCCAAAAATCAATTATAGTATTTCCAAATGTCACATTGGTTTCATACATTAGTACGTACTGTATTGAATAACTTTTTTTGAGATCAATTGCCCTAACACCAAACTGATATTTTTGCACTCTCGAAAAAAGTTATTCAACTTTCACACCAAAGGTTCCAATCTCATCGTTATACGTACTGTATTGTTATGCGATTGCTCCCCCAATGTAAGATCCATTTCTATAGAGCTGTTCGAAATACACTTCTCTCGAGATAAAAGAATATTTGCTGATTCATTGGAAATGATTCTATTCTTGTTCCAGTCAACTTGATGTTCATTGTTGGATTTCTTTGCAAAAAATACATTTAATTTATGAAGGAACTTATCAAGGCAAACTAAAAGTAAACCATTTTCTACATCTATATAAAGTTCTCCACTATAATTGTTACTGTTTTCATATTATGTTATTCAAAAATCTACAAAAGTAACACACAAAAAAATGGTTTTCAATATTCAATAGTTATTTTTCATGTGCTTATAAATAGATCTCACCTTATTAAAAGCTCTTATATAATTTTCAGGTTATGACAAGCTGCAAAGGAAGAAAGTGAGTGAAGATGATAAAATTAAAGTGAAAAAGACTTTAGCCTTCTAAAATTATCAGGCATTCAAATGTCAATAGACCAATTGTTGGATTTGAAGATTGTATATAGTAATAGTACTTTTGTAAAACTTCATCTTGATAGTCCCAACTGAAAGTGGTCTGTACCGTTACACATAAATTCAGCATTTCAACAGGAATAGCAAATTTTTATTGAGATTACAGAGACCTCTGAAGTGAGAAAATATGTTTATATTTTGAATACACGGACCCTTTACCTGGTTAAAATCAATAACACTATTCATCATAACAACTACAAATTTTCACAATGGAGTATTTCCATGAGAAGTGAGACAAATTCGGATTTTTCAGGACTGAAATTTTCTCAGGAAAAAAGTGTATTCGTAGTAAGTTGGTAGT